TCATTATTTTCGTTTCGGCGTTCATTATTTCTTTCACGAACGCTACTTGCTCCCGCGGTGCAGTTATTGCAGTTTCCCTCCCGAGGTTATATGTGCGCATTGACTTTGCTAGTTCTTTGTCAGATGTAAAACCTATGTTGGTTACTTGGCCCAGCTATTTATTCGTTAATCTATCGAATTCGGGGAACGCCCGTCCCGCGAGTTCGTTGGAATTAGGCCACCTACCTCGCGCGCGGTGAAGCCCACTGCCATCTCGACATGATATTACCGTGCCACTAAATGTCAGTGGGGCGAATGATTTGCACTACTCCGTGTCATCTTCTCTTTAAGCTTACTGGACTCTTCTTGCATGCCCAAATGACAATTTACCAATGACGCCATTAAGTATGGCAGGCTTACGCACCGCGTGCGAGTTTCGACGGACCCGCGGAACCCACCGAATCGAACACTTTCGGAAAAACATTGCTTAGGTTTTCGTCCAGCATTTTCTCGTCCTGGAAGTATTAAGGTGTCCGGAGAGTTTTGAAATTATGCCTCTCGACGTGGAAGCATGTTGCCTTCGAACGCACTAGCAGAAAGCTATAGATTCGGTAGGAGGAAAGGGCTTTGTTGACAGATCAATACTACGACTGATCAGAATTCGACTTTGTCGTTGTTAGGACGTAATCATCGACTGAACGATGTACCGCTGATAAGACTACCGGAGCCTCCTGCTTCACCGTTACGAAACTGATCGCTTCGACAATCAGGCTTGAAATGAACATGGTGATTGATGAGCAGCAATGCACCCTCCCTTGTCACCTGCCATAACTGGCTCGATGGCTCTATCTGAGAAGAGATTTGCTTCCAAATTGTCGAAGCGGACGTCCACTGTTCTCATATATCGACACCGTTCTGGCTTCCCATCAGAGCAATCTTCCTCGAAGTGTGAGAAAATGGAAAAGACGATCTCTAGTCCCGAATCCATCACCCATTACGTTCTCCGCGGAAGTTACTTTCAAAGCAGGGCTTTTTGCAAATAGCGCACTCTCCTTCAATGAGCAGGAGCGTCGAGTGTGAATCAGTGTGTGTCAGAAAATATTGGACTGTAAGCGAATGACAACATCAATCGGCTTCATTATTGTTCAGGTCAAAAAGTAAATGTCATATGAAAATCCACACAGCAATCGCAGTGCCTTCCAGTGGGCGTAAGTCGACAGCTTGCTACAAAGCGCGGAGCTCACGCCAAGAAGGACATGAGCTCATTCTTCCTTTGCACAACCGTGCGTTTCGCTGCGAGACCCTATCCGTTTCACTGCGGAATCCTGTAAACAATACTCCTGCGATGAGCGCAGGAGTATTGTTTACAAATGAGAGAGGGTGTTTCGAGCTCCCAGTTCACACCAACGACAAGGAAATTTTTGTTTGTGAATGATAATGCTGGCCACCTCTCGCGAGGACGTCGATGGAGGAGCTGAAAAGGCTTAGCATAATCTGGCTAGCCCACTACTCACATAATACTTGACCTCAACCCCTATGACTGCCATACTTCCAAAAATCTACCATCCTTCTTTGAAGAGAGGAATTCAACAATCGCTAGGAGGTCAAGTGGGTAGTAGATGAGTGGATTCTTCTGCCGTTAAAAATAGCATCAGTGCTATGTCCGGTTTAGAGAGGGCCATTATGACTAAGAATGGCCACTATCTTGATTACTGATCTAACTTTATTGTCGTGATTATTTTGTGTTGAAAAAACCGGCTGAATTTTCTCATAACTTTATGGTTACCCTGATAGCTCTCCATCATCTGGATGCGCCATTACCGCTCTAGAAAGGCGTAGTTCACGAAACCTGCCTCCAGCGATGTCTTTTCACGCGGCACACTGTGAAAAATTTAATCAACTATTCAAATCGAAATTTTGCGAAGTCGGAGTTTGGTAGAAAAGAACAACAGCTGAACGACCAAGCGAAAATTCATCAAGACATTTTAACGTTGTAGCTTTGACTTATTCAATGAGATACTGTCTTAGTAAATGAGATCGCAATCCCTTCTATAGTCGTGCACCAGCAGTTGATCGATTCAGCTATCCGATTGTCACGATTTCACGACGGAATTAGAATGGAGCCATCAATTCTCATTTTTTTTCTGTATTTTCAGAGTTACGAAGTCGAAGGCACTTTTGTCGCACTAGAGTTCGAAGTCAGCTCCTACTTAATCAATGTCTACGACCATAGTGTTTGTCGAAATTCGATCTTCGTCTTAGTGAGTGCTCATTGCACCAGTTCTAGTCCGTTTTCTTCACTCTAGGTCGGCTTGGCCCCCCATGTCGCGACTCGAGCGCCCTTTCATCTTTCGCTCTGTATCCACAAGGTTATTTCTCGGGTACAAGTGGGAGGGGACATTCACGAGATCCTCGAAACTGTCCAGTGTAAGGCGCATCCGGTGATGCCCTGGATAAGGGAGCAGACTTCATGATAGACAGGCTTATTTAAGTAGGATGATAATAATACGGATGAGGGTAGACAAAAACAGTTAAGGCTGGCTGGTGGGTCGTCGGCGGCGTTCTTTCGATACGGATCCGGAGACGGCGGTCGTTGTGATGGTTATTGTGAAGATCCTTTGACCGACCACGAAGCTGTATTTATATCGTGAATTCCCACCCAAAGCGAATGCGGTGGAAGCTCGCGTTTACGATGCGGACCATAACCTACATTAGTTACCTCTGCTCCCTCTTTAGCGTTTTGAACCACTCAACCACCTTTTGAAAGCGTTCTCCATGATTAAATATGATAAAAAAATATATGATTATCTGTTGAGATATTACCTAAATGCGAAAAATTTGATGACATCAATTCTTTCTCAGCTACTTCTTGTATTGTTCATGAAGTGTTCATGATTTTTTTTGTCGCGTAAGATCAATGGAATGAGCTAAGGACATTTTTGTCCGTGGTCTGGTGATCTATATATTTACAATGTTGCAAAATAAATATGATATCTTCATTATTAACAAAAACACAATTGAAATATATTATGAATAGGGACCGTAGCAAGTAGATTGAGAACATTATGCATGATACTGCTTATGAAATATCCTACTACGTTATTGGTGGCGTTTCTGCAGGTGCTCCACTTGGTTTGGCAGAAAGACGATCCTAAAAGGTTATACTGTGTACTACCTTGCATTTATTCTAAGTGCATCCAGTAACCAAATCATATACTTACTCTTATAGCAATTCGAAATCGTCGTAGAGCTGACGGACGTGTAGACCGATGGATAGATTGGTCGAAGGCATAGCCTCGTTGGAGATGCACCTTTTCTCGACTAGTAGAGTCTGCCTCTTTGTATGGGTTTTGTGGTTTCACAAAGCACGTACTTTCTTCCACCGAGTGGAACTGCTGAGATCGCAAAAGCCGTAAACGCTTTCTGAAACAGTTCGCTCATTATGTGGAAGAAAAGTGATTGGTGAGTGTATGCTTGGCTGTTGAGTGTTCTTCAAAATATCGAAAGTTGTCGGTTATTTCTAACAACGATTTGCAACAGAATATCAAAATCTGGTACAGACTCAGTTAATCTTACCTTTCTTTAATAAATAATGTAGCAAAAAGTACAGTGAGGAAAATGAGCGCCAAATTCAGTGTTCCTCCGGCGCCAGCTACAACCTTCGCAGTTGTAACTGAAATCGAATTTCCTGTGAGCATAGTTTATTTCAATCATTGATTTGTAACAGAACTTTGAAAACCAAAAACTCACTCAAATAATCTTTCACTAGTAGATGCTCGCATTGCTGTCCAACGTAACCAGGATCGCATCTAGAAATATTCACAATCATTGTCACAAGTGCTCATGGAATCCATCAAATTTTTGAAAAAAAGGAAATGATTTCATTCAAGATGTGCCAAGGAATCCATTCTTATCGTTGAATTAGATTTTTCAAATTATTGATGAGCTTATTCCACTCCTTAGAAGAAAAAGAATTCGTCGCAACCCAGTGTTTGCTATTCTCGGGAAAGGGCTCCGCCACCCACTATGCCAACATCAGTGGGAAGAAAAGTCTTTGTGGTTAACTTTTTGACTAAACTTGACTCAAAAGAACAAGAGAGTGCTTAACAACTTTCGGAGTCTTACAGGACAGGTCTATTTCTAACCAACTACGTGATCAACATTCATTCCGAAAGGAGAGTATGCATGGCGCATCATTGGAAGTCCGAACGAATCCTATCCCTTCATCCTTACTGCTAACTCTAACTTAATTCATTGCATTTCTGACCCATGAGCTGCCAAAGGGGCTCTGAAGGCATGGATAGGGCGTGCTTTTTGAGTGGAAAAATTCTCAGTGTGGGAACTGCCACGTTATAAGGGAAACGGTGTTTAGCATTTCAGAATTACTTAGGGAGAATTACAACACCAAAGCAGGCAAGATAAAAATTGAGCCGTTTGTTGACCTTGTTATGGTGCGCATGAATAAGCAACAATGTATCCAAATACCCAACGCTAGTTTCCTCTTGCCGGTAGCTTTCCTTATGTCTTTCGCCATCATCGGAATCTCCTTCTTACAGGCCTCTTTCAAGTAAGTACGTTNACGTTGATGTTCACTCACACGCAAATTTTATCTTGATTCTTCAATCCGCAACGCCCATTGGCTCCACAAAAATCATCCCCGTTAGGGCAAGGTGCGAAGTCTGTAGGGAGGACAGCCTAAAGTATAATAACATACGATAATGTCCAATATCAGTGAGCTCTTGACTGGTAAAATCAGCGAAAAAGGGTACCTTTGAGGATACTCTCATTTTTCGAGAGTGCTCTTCTCCCGAACTCGTACGCGCGAAACATTCGTACAGACCGCTATGGGCTGCATCGTCAAAGTTAAATATGTGTTGGCTGACGCTAAAACGATATATACTTCGTTTGTGATCAGAAATTTCCTAAAGATTAGAAACCTTCTCGGCGTGCGTTTTCCATGAACTTCCTCTAGCTCTCGTTCGAATTTCAACGTTTGTTCGTCGATTCCTTCTCCGGCAGTACACTTCAGACGGAGCGTTTGACCTTCTTCAACAGTTACGGAAAGTGTAGAGTCAATGTGCGGTGGTTCATCTAAAATACCATCTAAACTCTTTGACTCCATTTTATGATCGAATGGTCTTCGTGCTCACTGTGAGAGAGTATGAGCTCGTACGACGGCGCCAAGGGGACGAATTTCTCCGCTGCCTTCTCCCTTTTGTAGCGTCGATGATAGATCATCAATCGTTCCCAACTGAAAAGCAATCTGTCTGGGGGGAATCTCAGCACTTATTTTCCAATCGTTTTGAGTCTTGAGAAAACGTTTCCGAGAAATGACAGAGGGAATGACACACACATATTACGGCATTCGATTATTTGCAAGTTGAACAGCATGATAATATGCAAATAGAGATTCGTGGTTAGATGACTCAACACCGTTATCGAGTGCGGGGTCTTGCGTTTGTGCAATACAGTTAGGTAAGCATGAGAACTGAGCCAGTAGACTTCATCATTTCCAGATGCTCAAACCCCTGTTTCCCTTGGCAACAGCTCTCAAATAAGATTCCCATCCTCCTTGAACAACAATGGGGGTATACTAAAATAGAAGATTGTCTAGAACCTACAGTGCTTTCTCCAGGGTTCGTTTTACCTCCTTCAAAGCACTGGATTAAGGACCGCGTATGAAAAAAACCACGATAGAAGTTGACACGGGTTGCTCATAGTCGGGAGAAAGCCCAGACATGTAAAGGTTTTGAAGGATGAAGCGGAGTACACGCCGCGACCATGGAACAGAACGGAAGCTCTTCTTACTGAACTCGTTCGGAACGAGTGGATCAATAGTTGGTAATTTGGTTCCTCTCAAAGAGAACGATCTTTAAAAAGACACTTCAGGAGCCTGGGCAGTCCATTTACACTGAATGTGACTTTTTTCGTCAACCATTACCATTTCTCGAATTAATAGTTCTAGAATGTAGATGGTCTTTTGCGCCAGGTAGGTGCCACGGTTCTCCTACGAAGTTCTTCAGTACCATTAGCGAGGGGTTGTAGTGTGGACTGATTAAGATTACGCATATTCATTAAAATTAAGATAATGATAATGATGATAATGAATGAATGATAATAATGAGTATTCAGTTGCACGTGGGTGAAGACGAGATTCGCTCAAAATAGTGCGAATTTAAAAGACAGGACGGTCGCCTCTACGATTTGAAAGAAAATAGTTTGTAGATGATCGAAGAAGAGGTAGGATGATAAAGTTCACCCTCATGATTTGTCCACATTAAGGACCATTATTTAACACACATATGGAGTTTCAGGTGGGAATCCCAGCATTATTACAAAGGCAAAGTCGCATTGAACGTTTTCTTTTGCGATCCTAATGGAGTTGCAGACATAGTAATCAGTAATGTTTAGGCCAGCGAAAAAGGGGAAGAAAACATTCGGGGTCTCGCAGCTCTTGGGAAGAACAAGTGGCTAACATCTGACCAGTTGATGCACTAAGTATGTACATAGTTACCCATTATTTATCAAAAATAGATGGTTCTCCTATTATTCAAGACATAGCCAGACAACAGCAGACGTCGAGAGAGAACAGTAATTTCTATCAACTTCGGTTCAATCCCTTTTCATCCAGATCTTGTGATGATGCTGTGGAAAGCCGATAATCTGATATAGGAGAGTGTGATTTGCATAAGAAGAGGTTTTGGAGGTGCTTCTGAAAGAACGAAGTGCAAGTCTGGTATGAATATGTCCTACATCAAAAGGGCGGTGGTGTAATGGTAAGTGGCGCACTTCACACAGTTCGATTCCCGTTCGTTATCTTCTTGACCAAAAAGGTCTCGATTGCTTCGGGGTCGGTTAACTGGTACCAGACTCGTCTGGAAGGATAGAAGCCCTGACTTGTACATGGCTGGCCACCGCAAGTCATTGCATGGGCCACACACGCATTCAGTACGCCACAACGATTTCGATTTCGCCACTACGGGATTGATCAACGCCAGAAGTCTTCATCTTTATACTTTATCACTTGCATCACTACAGTTCGCCACCCTGTTGTCCTCTGCCTATTACCATTATCCTGCTTCTCAAGCGGCGCAAGATACACGAGCTCCTGGAGGTACATCGCAAATCTGACGATCTAGACTTTGATCTGCGGACCTAGTGCAGAAAGAAGTCGTTCCTGGAAGCCTTGATACCCTCATCACGGGACGGGATGGAGGATGCTATAGAGTACGCCAATGCTTAGGAGCGAACATTTCAAAAATATCAATATAGTCGGTAGCAAGCCAAAGTATGCGGAAGAAAAATGCCAATATGGACAACTAAGTAAACGACAAGTAATCGTGACCATTTATCATGTAGATAACCGGCTACTCAGATAGATTAACAATAACTTATGCATCACCACCACGTGCTCCGAAATGAAACGATTCTTATCACAAATATGAAATCTTTTTTTGACACCAGTCCCATGTGGCGGTTAGCAGATGCACCACACCCTACATCCTCTACCCACACTAGTCTAACTGCAGCGGTCTCAGCCGACTTATAATGAAATCAAAATTGACCCTTTTGAAGGCACCAAAATGACTCTGTCATTTGTTTGAATTCGTGAACAATTCGCGGCGACTATTTGCCCTCAATGGGGCACTGCGAAAAATTGAAGGCAACCCAAGTAACCCCAAATAAGAATGTAAGTGGACGCTCATCTTGAGCTTTCTCGTTGAACTTAGGAGAACGAAATTTGTCAACAGCTGGTCATACATTCTGTACAGGATAGCACAAAGCTCCTGATTTTCAAGTTGAATGCTCGGCCTTTTACAGGAGTTGAGCCCGATTCTGTGCTTCCAAGTTTATTGTTTCTACCAGTACACTACTAGTACAGTTCTGCCTGCTATTCTTCACTGTTGTGAAAAATAATATTATAAAATGTGCCCTAATCAATGTAGAGGCACAAGGTCCAATCATTGACTGGCACTGAATGGTTATCTACAACGGTCCTTTAGAGGAAAAGTCTCCTTCAGTTGCTTTCGTCTGCAGATGCTTCGCCGTGCTCTGATGGGACTGATTACTTGAGAAAGCAGGTACAGACTTAACTAGAACAGATTTCTGCAATGTTCAATAAAATTCTGCTCCATGGAATTGTGATGACTGCTCAGTTTCTAGAATGAAATGGAGCCGGTGAGTATTTCAATAAGTTCGATAGCAACATCAGTTAGCCTTGGTCCCTACTGTACTGCTGATCGAAGGGTACCTATCTCAGCACCTAAAAGGATTATCACTAATCCATGCATCAACAGGAGCTGAAGGCGCCACGCTTTGCAGAACATTGCGCATAATGAATTCGACGAAGATAATGCATCTTGAACTAACGAAATCATCATGTCTAGCGATGACAGTTGCCTATTGCTCCTAGCGAGAAGTTCAAGAAAGGAATTGGCCCGATTCTGCGACTGGGTTTACATGATGCGCAGGAAATCTCAAAGGATATTAGAAAGGCCAGCATCGTACAGAGAAAGGAAGAGGGCCTCGTAGACGAGCGTCTGCTTTGGTTCAAATAANTAGCGATGACAGTTGCCTATTGCTCCTAGCGAGAAGTTCAAGAAAGGAATTGGCCCGATTCCGCGACTGGGTTTACATGATGCGCAGGAAATCTCAAAAGGATATTAGGAAGGTCAGCATCGTACAGAGAAGGGAAGAGGGCCTCGTAGACGAGCGTCTGCTTTGGTTCAAATAAGTCGGAACAATCCTTCAATGACATTAGCAGGAAAGCTTCCTGTCTTTTTTCGCACAGGACTAGATGGAAAAGTACTCAGATCCTACTAGTGTATTACACTTAAACAGCCAAGCAGCCTACTGACGTATTTCATTCCCTTATTCGATATGATATGCACTTTGGTTCAATGCAGATTTACTCACAATTTTATTTATTATCCTAGGATACACTGGTGTTGCCTTTACCGCCCATGTCGGCAAAGAAACAGGGCCCTTTCCATCCTATAGGAATACTCCAACTATCTCACATCGACTGAGCACCAGAATCCTAGTACGAAATGAGAAGTCGATGTGGAGCGGGAACATATGCTATGGGAAATGTTTCAAACAATTCGAGAGTTGAATACAAAATCATATCGAGCTATTTCAAACAATTTGTGCAGGCGAAAAGGCGAAGCTGGCAAATGGTGGAACGGGTAAGACGAAAAAAATGAAAATCTCATTCTTATGCTTCTGAGATTCATCTCGGTTTCGTCATGACATTCGGGAAACATCAAACAAATTGTGGCATCTAGCGAGCATCAAATATTTACACAGGGTACCGTCTAAAACGTTGTGCTGTGGTCTGAGCGACCAAGAAAAGTTCATAGTCTTGTCTGTGAGGAACATAAGAACCAATCGAAATTGCTCAGGCTATCATCGGAAATCGCAGATGTAGGCTCCCTATCTGAAAGCCACTAGAAGTTTGTAATTGTAAGGCGACACTAGTAGCCTGCTAGGTTCTTCAAAAGAATTGAATTGTGTTTCAGATAACAAATGGAACCGTTAAAACTCTTCGGAATGTTAAGAAGGGGGTGAGATAAGAAGAACACGATGTGAAAGCCCGCATGGATGAATCAGGGTGACAGAAGTCGTAGTTAGTTGAGCAATCCAATATTTAGCGACCACATTGAATGTATGATAGCGAATTAATATAAATCAAAGTTTGGGGAACTGAGGGCGGAGTGGGGAGGATTGACAGGAGGGAGGAGAGTGAAGTGTGCGTTACTTCTTCCGACGTTAAGAGTTTGCACAATACGTGGCTGAGCGACGAAGCAAAGACCACTTTTGCAGCCACTTGTGATCAAGATTTTACAAAGGTGGTGAATAGTCATCACCTGGGAAAGGAATCTCATTGGCTAGACTTGGGTTGAGGGTCGGATGACGAACGGTTTGTGCGAGGGCGTTCTTGGAGTCTCATTGTATCTTCGACCTTTCCGTTTGTTTAGTTGAGTCATGCAGTACAGCCTACATTCCTGGATGGAAAGTGCAGCAGAACTTGACGTATTTCAGGAATGATGCAATAGGGATGACGTGAAATTATGTAAGATTAAGTATCAAGTGATAACGGGAGAGCTGTAAAAAGCTCAACAAAAAGAAAGTTAAATACAGGGCATTATGCGTCACTAATTTCAGGGATTAGAAAGGTTCCAGTAATGTTTAACTTCTAGATCCGCTTGTCCTACTGATTCCAGTTTTTGTGGTCG